AATAAAATATGCGAGAAGAGCGTTCCAGCCCAGCCTGGTTACGACAATTTGGGCGCTCTCATTTTTACCAATCTGATCCCTGGTTATGACAATTTGGCCACACCCTACTCGTTCTCTCACCTGCAACTTCGTCTAACATATGGCTGATTTTTGTTCTTCGAGTCACAGGCATCTCTGCACAAAGATAACAAACGTGAACTCAATCCCATAGCTCCTAGGACTTAACCTTCTGCACAATTTGGAATGAGAAGAAAAAGTAACCACTCCTATATGCTTCATAGCCTCATGATTATTAGTGTGGTGCACAACACACTCAGAAGCATGACTCTACTAGAAACGACTAGGGTTGTTCATGGTAATGGTAAAAAAATTAAACTGAACTGTAATCCGAAACAAATCGATTAAAAAATTGATATTTAATTTGGTTAGGTTATAAATTTTGCAAATCGATACTATTTGGTTTAGTTTTCGTTTTAGCAAAAAAGAACCACAAAAATAACCAAACCGAGAAATATATATATATATATATTTATAATTATTTATATATCATTCTTAAATAAAATATAAATATTTCGCCAAATTTTAATTAACTTAAGTCCTTTAACCTTAGAATTTTCTCGAGCCCAACACTTAATTTTAGTCCAACTATTACAACCCTAAGTTCAAATCCATAAAAATTCATTACTTTAATCTTTACCTACCATACCTCACATAAAATAGTCACACTTTCTCTTTAAATTGAATCATTTTGTTCGTGTAACAATAACTCTAGTATTGCTTAATTGCTTAATTGAGTCCACAATAGCTCTCATGTGGATTATTCATATACTATGTGTTTATGTCTATCAAGATATGCATGTCCTCAAAAAATTTAACACACACACATTTATGCTTTATTCAAATTTAAAATTTAAAATTATTTGATCAACATCAATTAAAAATTAACTTGTAAATAAATATTGGGTTCGTGCACTAAATGGGCTCTTCACCACTAGTACTATATATAAGTGTAGGAAATTGTTAAATTTAATAGAAGTTCTATCTTTCATAAACTCTGAAATTGTATTTTTTAAGAGTGCACATATAAAAATAATTCACCGTGATTATATCCTATTTATTTTGGATATCCAATTTTTTCTCATTTAAATAAGTTTAATTAGCAAAGAAAATTGAAAAAATATATTCTCATTAGTTATAACACCTAAAAATAAGATTTGGTTAGTTACGATATAAATTATTTTATAAAAATAGGCCTCTGTTAGTTACAATATAATATTCTTTTTTATAGAAATCTTCCAAATTGTTTTGAAGATGGAGTTCTAGATGTGGTAAAAGATATTTATTATCTATGTAAATTGTTTTATATGAATTATTTCGTTTCTAGGAACTCAAATTAGATTGAATAAATAACCGTCATTATGAGTAGGGAAATATGTTTTAAATGTTAAAAAACGTAATAAAATAAAAATAACCTAAAAATGTATAGAAAAGTAAGTATTAAATTATCACAACTTACTAAAATATGTTTTTAAGTAAATGCTGTAAAAAAAATTAAAAGTTAGTTAACTAAATAACTAATTCTTGCCTTAAACTGCCACATGTCTTTCTCTTGTGCTGCCATTTGGCTTAATTATAGGCTAGACTTTCTTCCTATTAAATATACTTGCCCGGGCCCAACACGAACACGAACACAAGGTCAGTACAATATGTTGTACTCATAAGTAAAGCAGAGAAATTTATTATGATCAAGTTAAGTATGTTTCGGTTGAGCTGTAGTAGGGCATAAAGTATCTCTATTGTGTTCCCCAACAATTATACATACGGATTTACATCTAGAGCATCGTAAGCGCTGTTGAATCTTGTGTGCTCACATCCTATTGAATATCAGATGAAGCTCAAAGTAAGTTCTACAGAAAACTAATAAATTTTTCTAATCAGTTGAAAAAATGAGTTAGTTACCTGAAATTGTAGATGCGGCGAATGAGATAGTAACCAGCATATTATACTGTGAGATTGAACTCTGTTGTAAGTTGGATAACAAGTTAAGAACACACTATGAGTAACAAATTGGTAAACTTATTTAAAATGTGTTAAATAAAATTGGAGTTTCATTTAAGAATTGAAATAAAAAATCTTTCGTTACAATTCTAAATTCACATATTGCACTTACATAACTGGGGAAAAACTAAATAAGAAAGAGAAGCACTATAATACACCAGAACTATATGGAGTGGAGCAATGCATTCAAATTTAACAGTTAAGAAATAAGGCTTTATTGTCAAAGAAAGTACACCAGTAAATCTTGAAAGCAAGGTAGTACTGCATTTACTATGAAAATCACAACATGAGTCATAAATATTCTATGTTGCTGTCCATAGATTCTCAAATATGGGTTACCTTAATCTATGTAATGAGAAATAAAAATCTATGATGATGTATACAATGAGACCTGTTTGTAATAACAACCTCTCATAACCATATTTCATTTCAACAATCAAGTTTTATGTCGAACTCGTTTAGGTTCCTCCTTCGAAAAAGTGAATATTAAGATACTAAATTAAATCAACTCATATATACATGCATTGTGTATATCTAATATAGTTTAAATTTTAATAGTGAAACTTCTCTATTTTGATCACGCATTTCAGATGTACAATCTTTAGAGTTTTGAAAATAATTGATACTATATATATTGAGAATTAGAGATTATTATTTTTCAGAAGTTCTAAGTGAAAAGTTTGTTACCTTGGATAAGTTAAATTGAAAACATTTGTGTATAGTATATTTACCTCTTTAAAGACATTAGATTATCTGTGTCCTCGAAATACTTACTTTTTTATACTAAATTTCAAGCTAAAATAGTTTATAGAAAGCTAATAAGTAAAACCAAAAGGTCATTTATAATTTCCTCGAGAAAATTAATAAATATAGAGCTACTATATTCAAACTTACATCCATGTAGTAATTCATTCTTTCAATTCTATCCAAAGTATCCCGTCCTTCAGGAGGCAATAATGAATCAAGATCAATTAAAAAGTAAAACGGAGATTCACTCATATAAAAGAGGATCAAGAAAAAAAAAAGTATCAAAATTTGCAAATTCTGCTCGCAGGTATCTATAAAACACAAATGTCCTACTGGCAAGAGTAAAGTCAAATTTGTGAACTTTGGCACTCCCCCAAAAAGTATTGAGTTCCGGCAAACAATATAGTCTCTTTAGCCAAACGGAATCCTTTAAGCATATTATTCAACATATTGAGTGCATTAGTGTTCACCTTGAAACAATAATATTGGTTCTACTTCTATCATAGAACTACCAATTTAGCACACTTAAAAAATGAAAGGTATCGTACAGCCTCAAAATTAGAATTTTAGATGACAAATCACTGAGGTAAGATAAAGCCAAAAATTACAAAGAAGTGGAAATGTAAGAGAACTTTCAAATCTGGAGAAGTCTAAAGTCAAGAAGAAGAGGAGTTAGAAGGAAGAAAAAAATCAAATTCGAAGAACCAAAACCCACTGGAAAACAACGATAAAAACGGAATAGCTAAAGAACCAACAAAAATGTGGGACACAAAGAAATCACAAAAGAATCAACAAATCAAAAAGCCAAAGTAAAGTTAAGGAATCAGAATCAAAACACCAAAAAGACCCATAAAATTTATGATTACCTAATAGGAGGTAGCTATAAACTCCATCAAAGTGCCAGGTTAAGAACAAGAGGAGATGAAGAGAAAACAGAGGTTTGGAGAGAGAAAGCGGCCGACGACCTGGAGAGAAACTTTTTTGGAGACGGAGGTATAAACTCCGTTGACCACCATGGTGCAAATTTGAGAGCTAGAGAAGAGGACAGAGCAAACGTTTGGAGGTGGAGCTCTTTAGCGGTGGCGTTAGGATTGATGGGAAAAGATAAGGGATCAGGTGAATATTCAAGTTGATTGAAATACCAAAAATGGCCCTACTATCCCCTGCTGGTCAATTTGAAGTCTCTTGTTAAAGTCGGCAAGTAGCACGACCCTAAGCTGCTCTCGGTAGCCTCTTATTAAATAAGAGAGAATATAGGAAAACTAGGAAATCAATTAATTAACTAAATAAAAAATGTTTACAAAATCTATAGATTTTCAGTAAGGGTTCAAGTTGTGTCGAAGGAAAAGGTATTAGGCATTCATTGAAATCCATAACTATAAGTCCCGATTGAATTTATTTTTTTCAAATTGAGAAGGAGATAAAAATAATATACAACTATAATAGGCATGTGGTATACACAAATAATAAAATAAACAATAATATGAGAAACGGCCTAAGATTTATCTAACGTCAATAATATATACACAATAATATCCGAACTCCATTGGAATAGCTTTAATGGGAAGGGACTCCGAGGTATCTGTAAACATACTTAGTAAAAGTGTTAATGATAAAATAATATAAATAATAACTTAAAATAAAACCCGTATTATATACATGGAATGCTTTGGAAATTGACAGTAATTTTTTCATGGGCCAATTTTAACGTACAAAATATACAAACTTAAACTAAATTTTCAATTTTTAGAGAAAGAGACCTCGAAAATCGATCAAGAGATTTTTTCATTGACAACATACAATATACACAATCTTATGAAACTAACAAAGAATACAATATAAGATAATGTACAAAAAAAATCTAAATAATAACAATATAACCTGCTGGAAACAAAAGTGGGTGTAATCAATAAATCAAAAAACAGACATGTATTCAACAAAAAGTAAAGTAGTAAGATATGTTAAAAATAAAAATCCATTAGATTTGTAAAACTGCTTTATCTGCTAAATAAATATCCAAAATATTCTTTATATGCTTAGTAAATCTTTTTATCTATCAAAAAATGATAAATAAATTAAGTAGATATGATTTAGAATAAATACGATGGAAATAATAACCCGTGCAACTATAGATCGAGATAAAATATTGGGACATTCTAGCTCATTGGCTAACCTTACTTGAAATAGACCATCGTGAATAACTTACCTGCAATCCAGTTGCATTCAACGTATTTAAAATTTGTCATGATCTCCAATAAAGAGAGTAAAAAAAACATCTTTGTTTTCCACCATTAAAATGTGTATAAAATGAAAAAACTATCAAAACAAGATAATGACAAATCAAAATCGTAGCACCCCATATTTATTGTTTGCATTCAATTAATA